ACCGTTTCGGTCAGATGAGGGCGTCAGAAAGACATTGAAATTTGACGCTTCTTTAATGTCAGGCAACACAACTCTTTGTGGTTTCAGCAATCCCACAAATGACTTCTGGAAAAACAGTTCAGGGTGAAGTGACATTTAGCAAAATCAACGGAAAGTGTAAGGAACCCATACGAACTGATTTATTTTTGGTGTTCCGACAAACTGTAACGATGAGAGCTGGACTGTGGTTGAATAATTCATGTATCATGCTTCGACTCTCATTTCTTGGCATTCAGCAGTCACTTGATGAAGTGTCACTTCGAGATTCTGCTCAATTTGGTTTAGTGTCCCTGTTCGAATATAGGGACGGTGGCTGCTTGGAGACTAGACATGTATATTATACTTGTACTGATTGTACGTCATCGTGTGGGATTTTGACCACTTGCACTCACGATTGATTCGACTGCAGAGCTGACCCAACCACTATCCTCCTAATTGGCCATTGTGAGGAATTTGTATGGAACGTTGAATCACAACATCTGTTCCCCAGATGTTTACGACAGAATTGCCACTACTTCGTCCACTTTCAAATTGGTACTCTTTCGGAAACATGAAATAAGTGGATTTCGAATGTCTGGCTGCACCCAATTTTCGCAACACAAGTTGAACTTTTCCTCCGAGAGATTGACCAAATCAACAAGAAACATGCCTTCATAGTTGCTGGGCCACGAATCAAACCTCATACCAGCGTCGGTATTGCAATGAAACTCACAAATTTGCTTCACCAAGATTTCTAGTGAGAGGATACATTAACTTGACCCTAGTACTGAGTCTGACTGTATTGACAATATTTGCGTCCGTGTTTCAAACAATCTGGTCTGTGCTGTTTCAAACTGCGCCTTGTGCTGCTACAACAGTACCTGCAATTGTTGAAGACTAGCTGCAATTGTAGAGTTCGTCTGGAGTTCTCCGTCGCCACCGCTGTGTTTCTAGCCTTCGATCTCTTCTAGCTAGCGCTTCAATCCAACGGGAAAAAGCGAAAGTCACGACTCGGCTGAAGGTGCATATTCTGCATTAAATAACGACTATATTCATAAGTCAAATGTACGTTCCATTATGGACATCGCGGTCCTGCAATTGCTTGTGATTTTGATTCGTATGATGCGAACGCGTACTAGCTGGCTGGTTTGCTACGATACGCCATATTTGGTCATCCGAGCGCGTCCAGACACAGGCACGAGCGCACTGGATTTCGCCAGTTGTTCACTTGACCAGCAGTAAGTCTGCTGAAGGGAGCCGTATTTTGTCAGCTTCTCGCATGACTCATCACATGCCCGTCCCTGCTGTCGGCGTTGTAGCGCCGTAAGTACTCACTCTATCTGAACGACCAACGGCCACACTACAAAAGTGTGAAAACGAACATCACTGAATGTGGAATGCTAGTTGGACTTTCCCAACCTTAGACTGGAACTGTATTCGCAAGACGGCATACCACCCCGTGGTTAAAGGCTAAGTTGAGAGCTTCCATAGACGAATAAGAGACTCCCTTTTCCGATGCAGACTAGTCCAAAAAACACCTCGCCTTCCCTTCCAGGTATTTGCATTGGCATTCAAGCTGAGTTGCAGTGCGCACCAGCAGAGCTGATCTAGGGTGCAAAAGTTAAGATATCGGAGTAATTCTCACTTCGCTCATCTTTGTGTCAGTTTCCTGAACTGACACCGGTGTTCGTTGCATTCTACTTCTCTTCGTGAGCACACCAGATGCACGGCGAACACACTACATCCACGTCATCGTCCGCATTAACGCAGTGTTGCCTTCTTCCGACACCCTACACTAGCCCTTGCATTTCTGTAATGAACAGCAAAACGTTTCACCTTAGACAATGATGATCACTAAATGACGGATTAAGATTACATACTTCGAAGTCTCATATCCGGATCCTCCTGGTCCACCCTTACAAAAGCTCTCACCTGTGGTGATCAAATCGCCATATAGTTGAAAATCCTTTAGCCCCACCTAACCATCTGTCCACGTAGCACCAGCCATAGCTAACTAAACGACGAGTCGGGGATGTCAAACTTATAGCCAGTCTTTCGAATTTTGTCAGTGTCCGTTGTTTTGATTAATCAGAGATGGTATATCTTTACTACCCACAATCGGTCAGTCAAGTGGGTAAACTGAAAATCAAAAATGTGTTGACATTTCGTTGCACACAATCGATCCGTAACTTAGTCAACACAAGGTCATTTGCCACAACCGTGTCTCAACCCTTTCTGTGTCCAGTGTTCCAGAACTCGGACACCACCCCGCCGGAGAATCCAGTATGCTCGGGGTCACCAACTGATAGCTTGAGGCCAATCAACATGGATCTAAGAGATAAATATTTGCCTTTTGCGTTTGAAGGCGGAAAGCGACTTGGCTACATGGTAAAAGCGAGAATGTGTGGAATTCTCCGTGAGACGAGTGTCGCACTATAGTGGAATGGGGTGCGGTGTGGGGAGTGATACTTACTAAGTGCAACGTTTTGGAAACAGCGGAGGAAATGTGAACGACTATTTTCCGCAAAAGCCTGTTTCGCAGTTCGACGGGCTCGCCAAGATCACCGAAATATGACAGTACAGACCACACACAAATAACAAATAGTCGAAAACAGATAAGTTTAGGGAATTCCGCGTACACCCACATTGTGACTACAATGTGCGCATCAGTTGTGGCCCGTACCTACCAATCATCATTTCCCTTGCCCCAACCTGACGTGTGCATCGAGGCATTTACCTATGGAAACCTTTGGGTGAACTGGAAAACAATTACTGTTTTGGCACTATGTTCTATTCTACCTCGTTTATCCTTTCACTCTTCAATTATTCACTTGTTTTAATAAATGCAATTCCCTCTACTCTGTAGTGTCCATCCTCTGTAGGTCTACGTACAGCACATGAGTTCAGTCGTCCTAATGCATCTACGTCATGCCATAGTTGACACTTCTCCCGCCATCGAATGGTGGAATCGCGCAACACAGTGGCCAGTGAGCCGCGCTGCACCACAACTAGCTATCCGGTCATGTGTGGTGCCGATATTCACCTGGGTATAGGAGCACAAATCCCTGCTTACAAAACTAGACCAAGGTCGCAAGTCCCTCAATTGACCGACTGAGTACGTAGTGCTGACGAGTTCTGAAAAGATGAAACAACCATTTAATGCCACACCGCAAGCTTGCAAGTACCTGACTAAGCCCACACAAGTTACTTGATTCTCTAATAATGAATGCTTTTTGGAATACTATACACCGATGCCTCACAGAAGAAACACTGCGGACCTCTGTACATTCTGTGAGCAAAGAAGGCTAAACGCAGTGACCAGACAACAATCGCCAACTATAAGAATTGATAAAAGTCAGCGAAAAACAGTGTCCACCGCTGAGGACCAGGTGTCGGTGAAGATGACTGCAGTGGATTAACCCGAAGTAATTTAAAGGGACATTAATACTCATGACTTACAGTTGGATGGACGGGTGGCCTAACGGGCTGTGTACAAGCGTAGATACAGGTGGTGGAAGGCGATAATGTGAGTCTAATTGCAACTCAGACATTATCCGAAGCAGAAAAAGGTTCGCTCGACAAGTTAAGCGCGCATACGGTAAGGCCCAACCAAAACAGATTCCAAGTTTAAACTGTTGGCCGCGGCACAGGGCATTTGTGAAGACCCAATTACAGAGATGATCAAAAGTTGTGGGGTAACTTTCGGTTCCCAGACCGAGATTTGATATTTTCTCCATTTGACAACGATATTAATGCAATAGAAATGCTTTGAGTAAACCAACATATGAGAAGAGAGATAGACACTAGCATTTGAAATCAGGTCGCAAGAGAAAAAACCAAAGCTGTATAGATGAGAAGACCAAGGAGCGAAAAATGGACGTTTTGCAGATGGAAAACGCAGGCATCAAGGGGGAGAGCCGTTTAGTGGTATCTGATGCCCGGTTACTAGCCTTAACTGACGGGGCTAAATAGACACATTCGCCGAGGTAAAGAAGCAAGAAATATTCGTAGCACCGCGGCGGTTGAAAGGATGAGAACCAGTGAGAAATACGTCGCAGTTGAAGACCTGTGAGGACTGCGCGATTTATAGATAGCGGCTTGGGCGAGAGAGTAAAGGTGAAAGCGTAATCCTATGGGTGTGCACACACAATAGAAGTTTTCACATACCAAATACCTTGTGGCGCAATCAAAAGCGGAATTTTTAATACCATAGCTCCTGTGGTGGTTAATAGGCAGGCGGAAAAACAAGAAAATACAACAGTTGAGGTCAAAGAAAAACGATAGGCCCCAAAACGACAAACAACAACAGAGAAGAGAGGCGTGGTCCGCAATGACAATTGCGCGGGGCCCAACCGGTCATTGCCAGCTGGGGTGGGTGTAAAACCATAGTTTTCATTTACAACAGTCGCTTACAGAGAGACAACCAATCACTGGACTCGGTACGGTGCAAACACCGTCATCACCCTTATGTTAGAATGTGAGAACGGTGTTTCCACGAATATTATGCCATAAAGGCTTTGACTTCGGTCCTGAACGAAAACTATGTATGAAGGCATAGAAGTGAACAGAGTAAGCAGAGCTCACAGCACTCCTGCGTTCTAGGGGTTTCCGAGGTCAGCACAACTGGGCATGCTAGGCATCAATGGGGGGGGGCAAGGATGTAGACTTGTTGCCACAGCCGCGATAACCAGTAATGATTACAGGTATAACAAGGATGTTACAAATGGGTGCTCCAAGTCTCTGCGTGCTTTCTCGATTCAGCGTCGGCGGACTAGGATAGCCTAACAACAGTCCATCCGATGGAAATACTGCAAACGGAACGTGCATTGCAGTTTATGGATGTTCTAGCCCCTTAGTAGAATAAGTGTTAAACAGTGAGCAGTCTCGCGGTGGTAGTGTGATTTATGATCCTAAAGATGTCCGCCCAAGTGTTGGCTTACGTTAAATACCAATGTTTGAAAACAGACACAACAGAAGGGCGTATCGAAAGCAACGTACTAAGGGGAGGTTTATTGTAATGGCAAGTGATGCGCAGGCATCAAACCATGCCGAGCTATACAAAAGGAGCTCCTGCCATTCTGCACTTCTCTCCCAGTAAGCACATGGATAAGTTGTGAAACTGTAGTCGAAATACATCGATGTCCGATTGAAGAAAGGACGAGCGATTTGTGAAGAGACACGCATACACGAATTCACAAACACATGGTAAAAGAAAGCCACAAAAAGGACAAGTCGAAAACTTTGTGGTCGGTTTCGGCAGAAAGGAGTGTAAATGAATGTGTAAGCCGAACAGGGTGCACATGCATTGAGAGTTACGATGAAAACAAGAGGTGCACGACAAAAAAGGAACCAAGGTAAAACGAGGGGTTGTGGAGTGAAAAGACGGTGTGATCAGAAGTCTGTCGGAACTTGAGGATAAGACGGGCATCGTTCCAAAACAAGTTAAAATACGTCCTCCTTCTTCTGAGTGCCATCAAAAGCATCGGCCCGACATAAAGGGCATGTGCGTTTATTCTGAAAGTCAAATATAAAAGACACATGTAACAGAATCAGCAAGCAATCATTACCACAAGGAAACATACCCTGACCATGTATCTTAGTGAGGTTGCAAAAAAGAGTGAAATACAGCGGTGTTTGAGAGGCTAATAATAATTCCAGGATGAAAGAACGGGCTTCGCCGTGATAAACAGGAACTACAAGGAACCGAACGGCAGGATTGGGTTGCATATCCTAAAGGAACACTAAATAAAATATATTTACAAATTTCACTGTTGAACTGATCGATATACTAACAATATCTTCTATTAAGGTGGCTAATTTGGCGAATAACGGAAAGTTCCGTGCCAAGTCATTAGTCAATTAAAGCAGTCAACCAAACAACACATGAGGGCCACCAACGCTGTTTAGGCCATCCACAGAAGAGGGACAATGAAGAAGGCGCAACTACATAAAGCAAAGCATGAAGCTGTTGCTTCTCGTCAGTATGCAAAGTGGTCTATCAACATGCATGGGAGTCGAAGCAACCCAAGAGCATATCAACGAGCGTTTACACATCTAAATTGAGTAAGCTATCTATTTTATGCTTCATTAATTACGTGATTATATCGCCAAGATAATGACACCGCAGTGACCGTGCATTTGAAGCGAAAGTCTCAATGGCACTGGAGTCGTAAACATGCAGGGTGGATACAAAAGAAAGGGTCCAAACTTTGTAAATCAAAGAGTAGAAAGTACAGTGCTAGCAGAGAATGATTTTATCCCTAGGGGATGAAAGGACACCCCTACAGTGGTAGATCAGGATAGCACAGTTGGAAATGACGTAAAAGGAACAGCTCCCCGAACAGGATCGCTGAGTGAACAGCGCCATAGGTAATCGGAATGTAAAAAAAAAATATACGAGCAGAATGATTTTTAAACACCAGTCCTATAAAAAGTGACCAGGTGATGCGGATTTACCTTCAGCCATTTGTCCACACATGCTACATGATACTCGTGACGACATCTTAAAGTTCGCAGAAGATCCTTAGGCTTGTAATCTTCCAAGCAAATCATACACCGTTCATCAGCTGTTGCAAAACATTCGGAACTTTCGGGCCCATCGGGTATTGTCGAGTCCGAGTTAACCTGGCCTCGATATGACCGGGTAGATAAGGTATCTAGCTCTTCCCTGCTAAGACCACGAGAGCGGTTTGTACTGGATTCCAACTGAAAGGCCAATTGATACAACGTGTCGACACTGGCTGCAGCAGCTGCAGCTGCAGCAGCCACGGCAGCGGCCGCAGCAGTTGCCGCAGACGTTCGACCTCCACCAAGCGATGAATTATGGTTGAGACCAAACTGGGTGTTAACCGGGTTTTGAAGATCGTTCAGCAAACTGGAATGACGGCCGCTGGAAGGAACAGCCAAGAGGAAAGGAAATAGTTGCGTCAGGTAGGCTGGAGAAGCTATGCTGGTGTTGCTGAATGGATTGCCCGCAGAAGTGTGCGAAGGGATCGATGAATTATGAAGGGTCTCGGAATTAGCCCCATAGTGGGGATGGTAACAAGAGGGCACGTAATTGGAAGGTGGTGATTGAACAGTGCTCATACTCGTTGGATAATAGAGGTGAGCGTGCAAGATTGGAACCGGTATGGATGGGGTAAGTGCGGATGGTGGGGTGGAGAGACCAGACATCACATCTGTAGGAACATGATTCGTGTTTTGTTGTTGTAATGCTGCTGCTGCGGCCATGGCGACCGCAGCCAATGCCACAGCAGTCGAACTGGTAGGCTGCAGAGCTGTTGAAATATTTGTCAGATGAGAGTTCTGAGTGCGGTAGATAAAATCAGGAGGTGCAGGAGAGGATGGTAATGTGGAACCAGCAAGAGGCTGGGATGTGATGGGGTGGTGAGGAGCCAAAGGAGGAGTAACCGCGGAGGCCACACGAGTGCCAGTTGCGCCACCAGAGGAGGCGCTCACGACCACGCTAACATTGGATCCACCAGCGGTGGCTGTCATTGCAGACGGATAATATGGTAACGAGTAAGGGTCCTAGGAACGAAAAAGATGAACAGTGTGATACAAGAAAGACAAGAGGTATGGTTTGAAACAATGAGACAATGGATATACCTCGGAATAGGACGACCAATTGCGTTTATGGACAGTTGCAAAGACTGTTAACATAGGGTGAGAGCTACGCACGAGGATAGTAGAACGCAAAAGGTACGTTTCCCGTCCACCGAGAAATGAGACGGAAGGCAGGGCACTAATAAGGGAATTAGCGGTGGCCGTACACGTGCTAGACGCGGAACACGAAAATGACTGGGACAATGTCGAAATAATCAAGAGGGGACTACGATAAACAAGCCAACGGTTGATTGCTGAGACGACTGGGATAACTAAGACTACTAACTGTGTGAACAGAATGAACGGAGGGGAGTTATCAAACACGCGGCGAGCTGTCTTACCCGGCCAGTCAGAAAGGGTGTCGGCGGACAAACTCAGGTTGGAGCATGAATCAGCAACGACATGAAGAAGAACACCTCACTTGTGAACGACCGGTGACGCGAATCAATGAGGAACGCTCTATGCTTTTTGTTACACTAGAATGGTCACTTAACCAATTGACCTGTAACACTATTATCCAATGATTCGTGGTATTTCTTGCCATCTTCGCCCTACTTTCCCATAAAAAACTAAGCCAACTGTGCACCGATTCAACTAACCTGAAGAAGCTCTTGCGTCAAGAAGGAAACGTTGCCACAATAAAAACCTACAAAAACCGATTTGTATTTAAAAGCTTATGAAATAATGAATCGATTCCGGAAATAAGTGGGGGCCCAAGCACCGTTGGATTCTCATGTAGTGATGAATGTAGCGCACTGAATAAGTCAAAACACAGGTAAGTCAAGGCAACATGGCCACCGCGTAAGGTAGATGAAGAGACGCCTATGGCACAGTGCACGAAAGAAACCAGAGAAGAGAACATGTGAAGAGCAAGTCAGACACGCGAGCTAATCTTAATCACTGCGACCTTGGAACGTTCCAAAATTTCGACTGAACTTTCAACCCATTGTACAGTCCGCTAGCGCTATGAATGGATTGAAGTCAGTATTGGTTTGGCATATGTCACAGTCGTAATTGAGTAAGATTGCCCGTCTACTTTATGATGGTTTCGCTATATTAAACCGCGTTTGATGTCGCCATCCATACCGAACTTGCATCCCGGAAACAGTAAGAGAGAAAGGAGCTAACAGAAAACCAAGGTCGCGACATCATAGTATCCTTTCTATGGACAAACGTATCGTCAGTTTCACATACCTTGAAGATCAAGTGGTGAATAACGAACAGCAATCACACGAGATGTGTTCATTGTTTGTACACAAAGAGAATCGAGAATTATATGATGCAAAACTATACGCAAATGAGTCCTCCGGTGAACATGCTCAAAGGGAATAAATTTGTGTGCAGCTTAATCCGGAGACAAGAGAGGCGGGAAATAAAGTAACTATAGGCAATGTTCAGCGGTTTGTTACACATCTCGAGGAATAGTCAAACCGGTATACCGAAACTTCGACATTCCTCAAACAATAACACGCCAAATTCAAGAAACGCGCCATTATATATATATATATATATATATATATATATATATACACCCCATGCTGAGACTGATGTTGCATGGTGTTTCTTCACCGCAGTTGGGCTAAACCAACTTACACTTAAACTAGGTCTTTTTAGGCTTTATAAATTTCATTCCACTTTACTTGGTTTGTTCTGCCTACCTGAATAATCTTCTATTAACTGGCCACCTTGCTTATGCTAACTGTGGTTATCTGCGTTAACTGTACTGTGCTTGTAGCATTTTTTGACTAACTTCTGGAGATTTTGCACTTATCGCGGATTCTTTGCTAACCAATTTACCTCATATGCTAATTTAGCGAACAGCTATGTCGGCGCAGCCGTATTCTTTAAAAGATATATTTTATTTGATAATGTTATTTTAAGTGATTGGCTGTTACTTGACATCCCCGGTGTGGCTGCGCTTGATGTGCATGTTGACAAGGTGCCTACCTGTCTATTACCCACTACATCGTCCATACTGGTTCCAGGAGACAGTTTGTAGTTGCTGGAGGGAACGGAGTGCACGGTCCTTGTGGCCGTGCTACGCTCGAAGGGTGGTTCCATGTACTCAGTGTGGAGCGGACTACGGTCCAGCCACAGTCTTGTGTGCGATTGATTTCCAAACATAGTGTGGTTGTGTTTGACTGTGAAGGAGTGTGGGCTGGCTCCGTTGATGAAACGCGGCTCCCATCCATATGCCTCCCGGTCTTATTCCTTCGAGTTTACACTGGACATAGGGTGTGGTTGGAGCTGTGGGTGGTGCAGCGCAAGCCACTCATTGTCCCTCTGTAGGCACAGGCGTCCTGTGGCTGGCCACAGTGACAGGCAAATCCGAAACTAGATGCCGCCAAGTATCTTTTTGTTATACATAAGCAACAAAGGTTTTATCGAAATATGCTGCAAAATTTGATTTGCTAATTTCGGCATCGCAAGAGAGGAATACATATATATATATATATATATATATATATATATATATATATATATATATATATATATATATATATATATATATATATGATCTCTACAGGAAATCCACAGAACTACAGTGCATACCAAGGGACTATGAGTGGCTTGCTCCCCACCACCCACATAACTTATATACAGTACAAACCCAATGGAATAAGTTTAGTTCTGTTGATCAACCATGATCCGAGCACCGAAGTGCGGTAAATCCAGTTTCCATGACTCACATCGCAAGGAGAACGATAATATAAAGCAACGACAAGATAGTGGGCCTAAAGGCAAATAAAATGTAAAGAAAATGGAAACAAGAGTGAAGTATGTTGAAATAAGCAGAGTGGAAAGAAAAATAACAACCAAATGCAAGAAAACGAATGAAGGAACGCCACTGACTGCACCATGTCTGATACGGTCTCCAACCATTGGTGTGGACCATCCCGAGGCCCCTATCCACGAAGACGGCACGCACCAGCCTGACCAAGTTTCTCAGTCAATTTCTTTAAGTCTTGATGCCACGCCATGGACTGCCCACCTCGCGGTTTCGCCCCACTTGGTGCAGCCACGGCGTACAATGCACGCCGAGGAAGCAGGTCAACGGGCATACGGAAGACATAGCCTAGCCAACGTAAGCGAGTAAGATTTAGCAAACACGCGAATGAGGCACCAGAAAACGTATTGCCAAAAACCTACCGGCGGACCTCAGCGTTGCTCATCCAGTGTTCCACCAGACGTGACCAATACTCCGCAAACACCGGTGGTCAAACACGGCCAAGCGTTTAATATCTGCGCCGCGGACTGGCCAGGTCTCTATTCGATACAGTAACACCGGCCTTACCACAGTGTTATACTCCTTACCTTTCACTGGCAGACTGATATCCGGCCGTCTACAAAGAAGTTGAATCTCAGGAAAGTCACAAGGGCCTTGCTGGTACGCGAAGTGACTTCCTCAGTGATGTGACCACCAGAGACAGTTTCCCGTAGACCCTTGTCCAGCCCCAGAAGCTACAGCAGAGACTGTGTAATGTAAAGGAATTTAGCTGGCACGCCCATCATGGAGAAGCGGTGTCACAAACTGTCGCGATCAACAGTCGATGTCAAGGAAAACCACCATTGTCGGTCATTTGTATGTTTCTCTGCTCTAGTACTTGGCGAAGAGGAAATATGTGGTCGACACATCCACGACCAGGGCTGAAGCCAACCTGGCATTCAGTGAATCGGTCCCCGGAGGCCAGTAATTCGTCGGAGAATGATACCCGCGAGGAGTTTAGAGGCAATGGAAACAAGGCTAATACCTCGGTGATTTTCGAAAAAGTACGCTGACCCTTCTTTAAGATGGGCACGACAGTTGGCAGTCGCCAGTATGAAGGTACCTCTACACAGTTCCAAATTGTGTTAAATAGAGTGAGTCCAGTCAACAAACAGTCACCACCATCTTTCAGCAAAGATGGAGTAAGATCGTCGTGTCCAGGAGCTCATGTCGAATCTCTTCCAAAGTAGGGGGCGTGACATCGACTTCCCATGTCGGCTCAGGCGATTCAGCAAGCGAGGTCACAGTAGGCCTGCTGAAACGCTCTTCAAAGTGTCCCGTCCAACGGGCTAGTCGACGACTCTGAGAACGGGTTAGCTGCTCGTCTTTCTCAGCTATTGTTTCGCCAACTGATAACTTTATCGGACCCCTGTTCCGGATTAGCTCCAATAGCACTGGCTTTCTCCATCTTATGGGCTTTTGCCATCCACCTACGTTCCCGGTCGAATCGAAGACTTCTTGCGATGCGTCGTTTCAGAAAGTTACGGATACGATGAAACTCGTTGCCCATCGGAACCTGTTTCCGTGCTTCGATCAAGCTGAGATCCATTCGCAATTACGTCTCAAGTAGGGTGCAAAGTATGCGTCGATGGAATAAGACAGAGGCATGTGGATGGGAGCCACGATTCATCAACGGAGCCGGCCCACATGCCCAGTAGTAACATCCTTGTATATCTATGTATGGAATCATGCGTACCAGATGTACACACGGCGGTGGTTGGGCCGTAGCCCGCTCCATGTTGGAAGGAACGACTTTTTGAGCCTAGTATGGTCTCCAGGACCGTGCACTTCGTCCCCACAACAAAGATTAGCTGTCACCTGGAGCCAGCAATCGAGATGGAGGGGGTCAGGCAGGTAAGCTCGTTGTCACCATTCACACGAAACGCAGTCACGCCGGGGACATCAAAAACTTTAAACAGAATGTAAAGGAAAATAAACATGTAAAATCGACAGGGAATATGCAACATAACAGAATTGAGCGAATCCAATAAAGTGGAATACTCTGCATCGAAATTAACAGAATATGCGGGCGAGCTGAGTTACCCATACTTATACTCACACTTAAAGAAATCAGTTGAAAATGCGTCCAGCACTTTTGAATTGTGCGAATCATCATTAGTCGTGTATTAATTCTTGTGGTACTTACACTTGAACAACCTTTGTTTCTAACTACTGCGTAATTATAGTTCTTAATGTAAGACCTGGAGATGGTTGCATCCCATATTAGTGAGTAGTGCACATCACAGTAATCATACTACTTGCCGAAATAAGGCTGTCTATAACTTAGTGTTAACGAAGGCCACAATGACTGCTCAACCGTTCAGATTCCCATACACAAAAACTCGTCAATTAAAGCTCATCACATTGTCCATATGTTCCAAAGCTGGACCTCTTCGCAGGGACTATGAGCGCTACACTGCATAGTCTTTCATGGCAGCCTTTGAGTTGACACATCATGCAATGATTCTAATATAGCTTCCATTGTTGCTGAATCGCAGGTACCTAAATATACGTTTAATCCTTGTTAAAAAAGGTACCAATCAGATCGCGTAAACGGTCCACCTCTTATCCACTGTGGTACCAGGTAATCTTGTTTCACATACTTGGCTAAATCCGAGCTTGGATACACCATCCAAATAATCCAGCAAAGAGAAGGAGCACGAAAATCAACATGACTTAAAAGGAAGACAAAACCAAAGGGTTTGATGAAATGCACGTGTAGTTCCAAGATCACGCTGCGGAGAAAACCAGATCGATGCTCCGGAGGAATATCGAGCAAAAGTTAAGGGTGGCATACCACTGGCCGACAACTCGGCGCAGTCCTCGTAGTTTGTGTAGGGAACTAACATGGGCATTCAAAATGGACGGGAACTAGAAGTAGCGGAACAGAAGATGGAATCATCCGATCCCAGAGAACCAAATATTAGAAGCATGTATTACAAGAGGCCAGAACCAGCTCAAGTGGAGGAGTGTCAGTGAACAGACAAGTGTTGAGGTTCAATGAGATTTCTGCACGCGGAAGTAGGCATGTGGTCGGGTCGCAACACTCCACTACAACGGGAACGGATGTCATTTGGTGATATTTCAGATCGTGAGAAAGACAGTGGTGGAAGTCAATAATGTAGATTGACTAATTGACAGAATGGAACAAAAGCGACAGATAGCGGTAGAATAACAAGTGCAGCTGTTGAGCGTCCCAGAGTATATATCAAAAGCTAGAAGCGTTTTTGCTAACCTTCGCCACATATATCGCCGGTGCGACATCACTTTCTCCATGAAGGGTAGAGTGTACAATGCAGCTGTTCGTTCAACTCTTCTTTACGGCTGTGAAACGCGGCCCATTAGATCAGCAGACATAAGGGGGCTAGTTACGTCCGATCACCGGTGACCTCACAGTTTTGCTCATGTCTGATGCGAACACCGTGTGAGCTATGAGCGTGTTCTACGCCTCGTTTATGGAACATGAAGAATAAGTGAACTGCTCGGCACCGTTATATCACGCACCAGGCTCAGATGGCTGGGCTTCGTGTTGCGCACGCCAACCCACCGGCTTCCGCGACGTGCCTTGTTTGCGTGTCGAGATGCATACGGCAGAAGGGAGGGGTGGCCAAGCTATGAGTTGGTCAGGAGAAATAAAGGCTCCTAGTTCGAAGTTGGCCTCGATTGGAGCCTTTTGGCTCCCTGCTTGGGATCCGAAAGACGATGAACACGTTTTGCTGGATAAACTTGTTGACATGGCTAGGATCCGACCTCAATGGCGTCCGTTTTGCGAGTTTCTTTGTTCCTCCCCATCCCGCCTAGCCTCACCCTCCAACCATGATATCATTTCTTAGCATAATATAAATTTTGCATGGCATAATTTCTTTTGCTGCACAGTATTCGGTTGGTAGCTTTCGGGAACGATACCTATCCGTTACTGGTAGCTCAGCTGGCTTACATCTGTGGTACGTTTTCTTTTTGCTCTTTTCGCATCTACTGCGGCACAAGAGCTGAGGTGTTTTCCATCTCCAGCTAACGAGTATAATAATGATGAGGATGTTGAGCGTTCTCAATATGTCTCTAGTGCAACAAAGTGATCCGAATGAGGTAACTTACGACACGTGTCCTAGAAGGGTTCCAGTCTACTTTGGTGTGCCTTAGCACACCGAAAATAATGTTCAAATGCACAAGTGTAAACAATAAACCAGATGAATGACGAAATCAGGAAAACAATGGCACCCACCTGCCGCTGATTCACTAAACGTAGAAACTGGAAAAGTGTCTGTATGTCGCGCGTCGTAGACAACGTGGGAAATCGTGAGGTCGAAGACAGAGACGGAATTGTTTGGATGGGAAGAATGGTAGCAGGATTCAGTGAGTCAGCCACAGACAATCCGGAATTGATGAAGAGGTGAGAGGGTGGGAGTTGTTGCGGTAAACTGACTATGACATCGGGTGCACAGCCACCACGAGCCAGCTGAAACGCCGATGACGAGCACTGATTGAGGGCTGCCGCATTCAACGCAGCGGCGACTTCTGATGGAAGCGTTACAAGACCTGCATGAGCCGATTGTGACAATGTGGCCACCTGATAAACGCCCGTTGTCGCTGTTGGTATAGCAAGCACTGCACTATCCAAGTTATGAGTGGGGGGAACAGACAACAGTTGAGCCGGCGGGAAATGTGGAGCCAAGATGGAAGACGGAACGCACGACAAATGGTTGGTTCGAGAGGGATTCAAATTAGAACTGAGAGCTGCACAAGGAGAAACTGGTTCCAGGCAAACAGGCGCAGTAAGAGAGTCCAAGGTAGAAGGAATCGCATTCAAGGGTCCACCAAAGTGTATGAAAGCAGCGTGAAGGTGCTGTGGAACACTTACTGAGTTGCTTCCCTGAGAACCATAAAATAAATTAGCAGCACTAGGGTGCCCACGCTCTAGAGTAGGGATACTACTTGACAAGCCGACTCCGCAAGGAATGGACACCGGCTGGTCAGTACCTGGAAAGAAGTTAAGAACATATGTAGGTATTAATAGGGTGTCACAAGGAACGACGCTGAGAAAAGGTTCAGGAAAAGATGTCCAAGAAATGAAATAAAAGTAGAATGTTCCGGATAACAGATGCAAAAGTTCGACGAAACGATAGGATGATTTGGAAAAGAGAGAGGTTCGGATTAGAAGGACTGTCCAAGCTTAGATTGCACGAACACTACTATATACATAAAAAATAGGAAATGGCTCACTGTAATGAGATTGACCAGTAGAGATAATGCATCCTGTGGACGAGTCAACTTGAGCGGAAGATGAATCACGGGGATCCGATAAGATAGCATTCCCATTAAAAGACAGTCTTGGTGGAAGATGGGTTCGAAATGAGAAAGGATTAAAGTGTCCTTCGGTAGTGCCTTCGCACAGAGAGGTCGGTGGGCTCGGGTTACAACGAAGTGTTGTGGGATCTACACCAGCTCTGGAAGTAGAAAGTACGGCAAGCTGCGGTTCCTGACAGCTTGCGTGCTGTGAATAGTCAACTGACTGACGGTGGTGTACGACGACGGCTGAAACAGCTTGTGCTGCTGCAGCGACAGCGCGAGCAGCAGCAGAGGCCACGGCAGCAGCGGCAGCCACGGTTGTTGCTTCATCGGATTGTGTACAAGAGGGCTGTGAAAGGGAGTTAAAAAGGTGTTACGAGAGGGATGATAGCCACTGGGGGAATCTCACAATAATAGATGTGGATGAAATGCATGGGTTTAGTAAAATGATCCCATGCCCATCGAAATTGGCTTGAATATGGTAAGATAAAACTGATCTGGAGTAATTAGCAAGTGCGGAAAGTTCAGAATCAACAGGATGAAGGTTCGCGTACAAGTAGAATGAGTAGAGAAGGGCAGTAAAAGTGAGAAACATGATGCAAGTAAAGAGACGAAAATATAAGGGTGCACAAATGTTCATATAAAGGGGGACAGACTTACACCGTCGCTACTGAAAATTGCATTCTCCGAGCAAAGACCATAACGATTGGTCCCTGAAGAGTAGTCGGTGGCATTTGTCGACTGAGTTCCACCGGTATAAGAGGCAGATAGAGAATTGCCATCGAGCACCGCTGATGTTTCTACGCGGGTTACAACAGAGCAGCTTCGTTGCCGAGTATTGGCTTCGCTGATTACGATGTTTGCGGCTGATAATTTATTCAACAGAAGATAAACATAAAGAGGCAAATAGAATGACTTACTAAAAAAATTTCTCAAGTTTGAGAAGAAAAGAAATCTAATTGCAGTACTGAGTGAACAGTGCGAAAGGGCATAGGTGGTTAGGCAACATCAAATGGTGCAAGGGCGATCATGTGGGGTAGCGCAGTTGAAAGCAACAACAGTGTAACGGGACAGTAAAGTTCACGGAGAGTGGATGACAGATAAAAGCAGTGTGAACAAGCACGAAATGACTCGATTTAGAGATTGGGGTGCGTGACAAATCAGGACATAACTTCCTCAATATGTGATCTTGCATCTTATCTGAACCGCATCTCAGACTCCACAGTACAGGTAATTAGGGCGAGCGAAGAATACAAATGAGATCGTCACAGATCTCAGTGGAATATTAACCAGAGCGTCAACTGTTAACTACTACGCCCCGAGTTTCCCTGCCCAGCTCAAGCTATCTCCATCTGATGAATACAAACGAGGAGGAAACCGTCAGCCGTTGAGTGTCAGTGCTGGGAGGAGCAACACCGAATCACTTCTATTTCAGGTACGGGCCCTGTGATCGGAATGACTGAGGTCTCAATGGAGATTGCGTGTCGCAGTTTAGCGAGTACACCGAATGTAACTTTAAATGAGACTATCCATATAAAATTGTGCGACGTGTTTGTTGATAATGGCATAAAGCTTCCAAGACCGCAACTGGCGAAGCGAGTTGGAAACCTTCAATGATCTCGAGGACCAACCAGTGAGTGTGAGAAGAAGCAGGCGAAATGTTACGTGTTCAAGAGACGGATATTGACAAACGGTAGACAAAGGAAAAACACGTGGAGATAAAAAGGGGGAGAGTTAACCAACCTGAAGGTGACTTGTTTGATGCAATGGGATCGCTGACAACTAGTGAAGAGGAGATTGGAGCCAAGGGTTCCTCTTGAGTAGTTCTTGTAGCTCCAGGCGCACAATCAGGCGGAAAGCATTGTGATGTCGTTTGTAGGGGGCTTGCTGGGCCTGAAGATTGGAAGTAATCTAGCGAAAACAGGGAAAGTACGAGGCACATGAAAACATAATAAAGTAAAGCACTGCGTGGTTGGTACGTATATGAGGCAACTGTATTCAGGCACGGTACACTAATGAGTAACAGTTAGAACGCCGGGCACCCGGCGTACAAGTAAATAAGCAGCATTACGAGACGGTGCTGGTTTTGGTGCTATGCCGGTATCGACATTCTGCAACAACTAACGATATAAGGCGCATTTGCTGTTCGGATCAAGGGTAACTGGGTCACAATTAAACATACGGAGAATGGCAACAAGGTAAACATGGTACTTCTGAGCTATTTTCTCACTGAACGTACTGCAGGCGAATGGATAAGGAAAAAGATTCCACATATAAAGAAAGCGTTTTAGGTTGACAAAATCGACACAGTTGCTTCATACACACGCATTTTTCATAACCGTCAGATGCCAGAGAGCAATCGATTATGGTGTGTGCGTGGATACAATCGGACTACCGCGGCACCCATGACCAGATCAGTATAAAGAAAGCCAGGGTATCGAAACGAAGATTGAGTCGGAAACTCATTTGCAACATTAGACTGATTGTGTAGTCGGCTACAAGGTGTCAGCATGCGGAGCATAAAGCTGACGCGATTACAGCACGCGGACCTGGCACTAGAAGTTTGAAACCAGTTTTCGGTGATCTTCATAGCACACAGCCGGTAAGCACACCCCAGAAATAGTAACATCAGGAAACCTGTGGAAAAATTATATCATAAAAAGGAAACTGACTTGGGCGATGAACTTGTGGTTGACGTCTTCTTTGCCTCAATGCGTTCGAAGGTGGAACACGGTGATACTGTGTGTTTCGAGGTGTGGGTGGACTGGCGCCGCCACAAGGTAGGATGGCTGGCGCGCAACTGGGAGTCGGGATAGGGATCTGGTGGAATCCATTGTGGAAGGAGCTATGAACATCACCCTGCCAGTTCGGATGAATGAGATGTACAGCTGGGACGACAGGTGCAGATGATTGCATGCGAATGGCAGCCTCTAAAAGGTTGTGGGAAGTCACATTTGAAGAATGGATGCCTGGACCAGGAGCATCGCACACTGGACAAAGTGTGCAGTCAAGTAAACCCGGAGACACTCTTCTGCGTTTCGGTAACGTAGGATGAAGCATAGAATGATCGACCTGGGAAAAACAGTAGCAAAGTACTGATGGGTATTTAGAAAACGAGTGTTCAATTGGCAACACGCAGGCAAACTGTCTATCTAAGCAAACGCTGTACACACAGAGTAGTGGAATCGGCCCTTCTGCGTAAATTGGCACATGACCGATTTGTGAGGGGAGCATAACATCGAGGCAAAAACAGATGGAACCCAGCAAAGGATCAGATAGTCAATCGGATGTGTGGGTTTAACAGATCGCACGACCGGAAGCAGTGGGTACAGTCGCCCATCTAAATGGACGCGCCCCAGGTTGTTTAGGTAACCGGATCGAAGAAAGAACAACAGTGAAGCAAATCTCATGGTTATTAAAGACAGGCAAGTATAATGACCCTTTTGATTATGCCAAATTCATCAAAAGAATAAACAAAGTGGGAAATGAAAACAAGAATGAACACAACAGAGTGGAGAAGACATGGATCCGTTAAACGGAAGGGTTAAGTGTCAGAGGCAAGGAACCGAATGAAATACTGCAAAAGACCACATGAAAGTGCAGTAGCAGAAGCTTCCTATTGATACACAAACGGTCCACCTACAAGCATTTATCCAAAAAGCGGATAAGTAGTGAGGTGACTCGCTCCTTCGGTCAACGTCAAGGTATGAAGTTGAGTTTTGACGAACTGGTTACCTTGAGTTACCACCAAGTCAACCGTGATGACTGGAAACAACGTTCACCGAGCTGGAAGATCGGTGGGTATTCGAGCAGAACAAAGGATTCAGTGGGATATAGTTTCGTTGCCAGGGCATGAGAATTACTCAATCGGCATGTAACTCTTTGAAATAGACCTGGAACCGATCGAGAAACTCATGAGTTCAGAAAGGTGCAAAAATTAAAACACTGCCAATGAACGGTTTCTCACAGAGGATCAGGCAGGCTGCTTCACGTGTTTTCTTGTATCCTTGGACTACGCTGAATGAAACCTTTCGAGTGTCCTGGATACCACATCGCATTTGTCATGTCATAGAGACAAGACAGTCTAAGCATTCCAATGATCGCATATGAGAGAGGTCGATGACATTATTAGCTCACGACTCAACTATGGAAAAAATGTTGATGAGCCATAAACGCAACTCGCTTGCCTTGGAGCGCATGCGCATGTGATGAGGGAAGACAAGCCCTGCTCACAGGTTTATTACTATCAGGCCAGCAACATGTAAACCCGTCAACACCCACCTAAGGTTGACCGCGAACGAGAATACAACATATGCGTGACATTCAGGGCTACGTCATCATGCTTAACCAGAGAAGCATGGAACTGAAGTAGTCACACTCCAGAGAAGAACCCAAATTCAGCGCACACCTAGTAAAACCGGAGTGATGACTAGTGATGAATTCAATCATACGCATGCAATCAGTCATGTTATGAAACTAGGGGAAAGGCGGTACCATTTGATATACGTCATCAACGATGTACAGTTCAGAAGACAAGGACTGTCAGTAACTTGTATTCATCATTTGTGTAGTCAAAAGTATGGAAACCGTGGTGGTTGCTGATGAAGTGAGTCGCTTACCAGACCATGGACAAACTCTTTGCGGCGCTCCTGAAAACTATGCTTGTTGCACTGATAGTGTTGTCCAGCTCCATCGATGATGTGCCAGTCGTAATCAGTTTCAGAAGCACCGACATCTAGTACAAATGCATGTATCGTGTACACCAGTACCCTCAAAACGAAATGAGATTGTGAGTTCAAAGGGACCATGTTATACCAAGATACAGATGGTGATCGTCAGAATCGGATCGACGACCTACCGAAGGTACCTGCCTAGAATTCAGTTAGACTCCAACATCCTTCATATAGCGTTCATACTCTGGACTTCCATGAAGCGCCGAAGTTTCAAGTCACACACACAACACAAAGTTCCAAAACAAAGAGAACATCATAAAACGGATGTCTAAGATAGGAAGGAAAGCAACAAACGCGATGTTTCTGTGCACTTCCGACCAAATAAATCAATTTATTGTTGTCATAAGGCATAAAAAGTGGTAGTGTTAATAGAATGTATATTGGTCGCGGGTCAGATAAACTGCTTCTGGTGTAGCAGTAGCTGCAGTAGTAGAACCAACGGTCAAACAAACAGATATAGAGTCAGAAAAAACCATGAAAGCCAGTGGACGAAAGGTGGAGTCGCCGCAGCATCATCATTATAGCCCAGTAGTTAAAGATGAGCAACCCACTTCAGCTAATGTGCCGCAATAAAAACGGAACATTTGTTGTTATTCTTTCACACGTTATTTTTTCACTTTTTAATTGTTAGGCGTTAAGTATCCGAATCTAAACAAGTATGTACACAGATTTTCCACTGGTTTTGGTTACGAGCCATATCCTGAATGGTTTCGAGCCGGCGGCACTCTTCGTTCTTATGCCCAAAACCAGGCAGGCGTGTGGATCCAACGGCAGTAAGACATGAAGTCAATGGTTTCATTTGCTGTCGTCAGGTAGATGGTTGACCGCTATATGGTCTCTTCTAGTCGAGTCTTGCAAGAGCAAACAGAGCGTGATAGGGCAAACACTCAGCTGACATACGCAGGATGTGGCTCAGCAATCTTAAAAAGGCGCAGTGAAACCAGTTTGTTGAAGGGAAAACGCGTATTATCTAAGACACGACGTCTGACTTCACCGTTGCCGAGATGTTGTCACCAGCACACACGAACAGTTCTTCACAAGTACCAATTATCGAAGGCCGAGAGCTGGCGCACGTCATCTACGCGAACTGGTTATGACTCGCAAACATAGGGGAGCACCGCCTGAACTGCGGCATTGTAAACATGACACTTAACCAAGAGGGAGACATCCCGACGACAGCATAAGTGTTGCAGGTTGACAAACCCAGACCGGGCATTGGCGATACGGAGGGGCATTTCTTTGCTAATAGCGCCACCAGCAGACAAGAAACTGCCCAGGTACACAAAGGTGTCAACATGTTCAAGCCGTGTGCCTTCAAGAGTGCGCACACTAACGGGAGAGCGACAGTCCTAGAGCAGCACTTTACATTTCGACGAGGCGAAGCATATTCCGCACTTAGATGCTAAAATCGCCAAAGGATTAACAATAGTTTGCATACTCTGCGAGTCACCAGATAGTACGATGTCATCGGCATAAGATAAGTAGGTTACTCGCTTACCCCGTAGTACTTGCAGACCAAAAATACTGGTAACCCCCCAGAGCTCTCGACAGGACGTCTTCAAGCGCAAAATTGAAGAGCAACGGGGACAGCCCTGTCATACACTGCTATTGACAGCGAAGGGCGAAGAAGGATTGCCATAGACCCACACTCTGCCGGAAATGTGGAGGCAGAGTGCGCGCAGGATGGTTGTGTACTTTTCTGGGACCCCATTCCTTAGCAAGTAACGCCATAGCGCAGGTTCACCAACCGAGTCGAAAGCGGCACATATGTCTAAGAATGCAACGATGGTGTCAAATGTAGGTTCTTGGGTGACATGCATTTCTGCGAAAATGCTCCGTCAGGCGAGCAGTTGAGGTATTTCGGGAGAAACGCGGTCAACTACTCAAACATAAACATAAAAACAAGTGGTGTGGTGGCTCCATCCGTGAGTGACCGTAAGATGTGCCTCAACTTTGATCATGCCCTAGACCAATGAATGGGAGCAAAGCAAGCAATCCCATTGGGCAGTAGTACGGAGAAAATTGCAGCTCACGGACAGACAAGATTTACACCCGTTACGGTGATCTATAAATCAATCCTCTCGTTCTGAATACATTTAGCTACGTTTGGATAGGCTTTTCATGGTTACAAATGGCGAGGAATATCCTGCTTGCGGCAATAACAGTCGACAATGCAGCGGACAGTGGACATCAACGAATCTGTTGAAGTACCCAGTTGGCAACGATCGTGACTAGAATAGTGTGGAAGTTATGGTGTGCAAGCTGAGGCAAAGTACGTGAGTTTACAGAGAAGTCTGGGACACAGAAGGAATATAGGAAGTATATATAGGAGAGGGCAAATTACCGCAGGCTCTTCCACCGTGGCAGGAAATTGGCTGTCGATGAGACTTACGGGAACAGTCGACAACTTCGTCAACAAATATGGTTCATTGAGAGGAGCACTCAAGAGTACAGAACAGCTGGTGTGCTGCCTATAAGTAGCCATGTACACATGCGGCGTGGACGAAAAATATGACCAGTCAATGTGAAGGCTCTCATTTGTAGCTGAAACGCAGCCGCTTCCGTGTTAATCACGGATGGTAGTAAGATCCACAGCAACCGATTGACTCATCTGTCAGAACAGGTAGGAGGCCGTTACAGCCATACAGGGCAAAACGATCCGTGATATTCTGCAGGAACGATGGTCGCATTCAGTGTGACAGCGAGATGTCGATAGTGACATTCACTGGCACACATTCGCGTTCATCAACTTAATTTGAAACGGATGAGAAAGCGGCAAAAGGGTATATAACTGATTAGGAACCATACAAAAAGTGTATTTTCCTTTTTGTTCCTAAAGGTGGGGCAGAGTCAAGTGCATTACAGGCTGAACCGACCTTATCGGTTGGGTTTTTCGTTCCGATATATTCACTGAGAAATAACTTCCCTCGCACATAGACAGCTTACGTGCTCCGTAATTGAACACCTAATTTCGAGTCAGCATGTAAAGTGACGACAAGTGGCGTTTGACAAAGTCCTTTCGTTCCACCACTTCTACTCAATGTTATGGTACTCTCTGCCATTGCCGTTTTCGAAAGGAGTCCAACGATGCAGACATCCAGATTCTGTTACAAGGCAAAACTTGCTGATCAGAAGTATGCCCAAACATTCGTCTGTCGCGATACAGCCCATTCAAACCTGGAGAAACATCACAGACTGGTCCGATCCTTTGACATGCGCTCTGCACCCTCGAAGTGGAGAATGCTGTAGCAAGATCACCAATCGCCTGTTTGTTCTACGGTTCTTGAAAGTGAGGAATTGCACATAATTGGACAGTTGAGCTATCATGATGACTCTACT